GCCACATTCAAGGATGGCGGGGAGACCGAAATGATGACAATTAACATGCAGTCGTATGAGTACCCGACTCATTGTTACCAAATTGAAGAAGTGAAAGACACTAAGCCTTGGTACTACGATATTCTACAGTATATCAAGCATCAGAGTTTTCCAGAAGAAGCTACCGAAACCGATAAGAGAACCCTTAGAAGGATGGCAGTTGGAAACAACCTTGACGGAGAGGTTTTATACAAGAAAAGCCATAATCAAGTCCTGTTAAGGTGCGTCGATGCTGAAGAGGTAAAAATGATAGTGGAAGAAGTACATGATGGAGTTCGTGGAGCACATGCAAATGGACATATAATGTCAAGACAAATAATGAGATGCAGATATTTTTGGTCCACACTAGAAAGTGATTGCATCAACTATGCTAGAAGATGTCATAAATGTCAAATTTACGCAGATAAAATCAATGTTCCACCCTCATCCACTTCATGTAATGATTCATCCTAGCCTTTCTCTATGTGGGGCATGGATGTTATCGGGCAATTCCATCTAAAGGCTTCGAATGGTCACCTTTTATGTGGGGCATGGATGTTATCGGGCAATTCCATCTAAAGGCTTCGAATGGTCACCTTTTCATTCTCGTGGCAATTTATCACTTCACGAAATGGGTAGAGGCTGTATCATATGTAGTGTCACTCAGTCCATTTTTTGCAAGTTTTTTAAGAAATATTATATGTTGGTATAGTCTACCTGAAAGGATCATTATCGATAATGCTACAAACTTGAACAACAAGATGATGAATGCTGCTTGTGAACATTTCAACATAAAACATCACAATTCCACTACTTACAGGCCAAAGATGAACGGAGCAGTAGAAGCAGCAAACAAAAACATTAAGAAGATAGTGGAGAAAACGACTGAAACTTACAAAGACTGGCATGAGAAGTTACCTTTTGCTTTGTTCGCTTATCGAACCTCGGTACGAACCTCGACTGAACCAACTCCATTTTCACTAGCTTATGGAATGGAAGCAGTGCTACCCATTGAAGTAGAGATTCCGTCACTCCGGGTCTTGACAGAAGTCAAACTGGATGATGCAAAGTGAGTACAATCCAGATATGATCAGCTTAATTTGATACATGAAAAGAGTCTGAAAGCCATTCATGATGGTCAAATCTATCAGAAACGAATGATCCGAGTACATGACAAAAAGGTGCGCCTGAGAATATTCCGCGAATGAGATCTGGTGCTAAAAAGAATTTGGTCAGTCCATAAAGATTTCTGAGGAAAATGGACGCCAAACTGGGAAGGACCTTATATCGTGAAAAAGGCCTTCTCTGGAGGAGCCCTTGTCCTGGCTGAGATAGATGAACCTGAACTGCCACATCCCATCAACTCGGATGCAGTCAAGAAATACTTCGCTTAGGATGAAACCCGAGAGGGCGTCCTAAGTCGGAAAAAAGGAAAAACAGCAAAAAAAAGAAGAAAAAGAAAATAAAAGAAAAAAATGTTTAGGGTGAAAACCCGAAGGGGCGCCCTAAATTGAAAAAATGGAAAAAAATAGAAAAAGAACAAAAAAGAAAAAGAAAAATAAGGTGGGTCAAGATGAAAACCCACAAAGGGCGTCTTGCAACCAAGGATGGGTCCAAGTTGAAAACCCGAAAAGGGCGATTTGGATACTGATAGTGGAAACATCCCGGCATCTGAATCTCCTACAAACTCAACAAGTCGGATAAAGGTTGCACTTTCCAGAACGTTGTCACATTTTTAAAGATCACTTGGCAAAGGCTGTGTTCAAAGTCACCTGACGGCTTTTCAGCTCAAAATGGTCCACATTACGAGATCTCATACTGCATCATGTATTAATTCTCCAAAGTGTTTGTCATGTACTATTTGTTCTTTTATAAATAAAGACAATATTTTTCTCTAAATCAATTCATTTTGGGCATCTTGGATTGAACTTAAACCTAATGATTTAATTATTTTTTGCAAAAGATAATCGCATATTAATGTACAAAGATTCATTGAAAAGTATGGGTACCTGAAAGCCGATCAAGGCTCATGCACATACTTGAGATGGTCGAGAAGCCTCTCCCAAATCAAGAAAAAATAGAATGTGCGCGTCAGATTTAAACATTTGAAGAATTCAAGATCAAGGATCAGAACTTCAAGATTTCAAAATCAAGAGTCAACAACGATAAGCCACCGGAGATCGAGATTTCTCTCCAGAGCCAAGAATAACATATGTTGCATATGCATTTTAGGCATACCTAAAAGCTTGACATCCATAACATCGCATATATGCATATCTTTGCAGGTTTTACCTAGAGCCAATTTCAACTTCGCAGCGAAGGATATTGGACTAAAAAACGACACAATTTGCTCCAGGGTAGATTTCAACTTCACGACGAAGGATATCTGACTCGAGGCCAAACCTTACAAAAAATGGGTCATCCACGGTTTCAACTTCAAGACGAAGTGAATCGTGTCCACCCGCAACATACAATACTTGGATTTCAACTTCATGACAAAGGATATTCAAGTTAAGTCTCAACTTCACGACGAAGGGGCCATCCACGATTTCAACTCTACGACAGAGGATATCGTACCCACACATCCACTATTTCAACTCTACGACGGAGTATATCATACCCACACATCCACGATTTTAACTCCACGATGGAGGATATCGTGCCATTTGAATCTCAACTTCACAGCGAAGGGGCGGCTGACTGTCAACAAACAACTTCCCAATTTCAGAGCCAATTTTAACTTCACAACGAAGGATATTGGACTCAAGACAGCACAAGTTCAACTTCACGACGAAGGGGCTTCCCAATTTCAGATCCAATTTCAACTTCACAACGAAGGATATTGGACTCAAGACAACACAAGCTCAACTTCACAGTGAAAGGGGCGACTGACTGTCAACAAACAACTTTCCAATTTCAGAACCAATTTCAATTTCACAACGAAGGATATTGGACTCAAGACAGCTCAAGCTCAACTTCACAACGAAGGAGCGGCTGACTGTCAACAAACAACTTCACAGCGAAGGATATTGGACTCTAGACAGCACAAGGGGTTGCTGACTGTCAACAAACAACTTCCAAATTTCAGAGCCAATTTCAACTTCCCAGCGAAGGATATTGGACCCAAGATAACACAAGCTTAACTCCACAAAAAAGGGACGACTGATTGTTAACCAACAACTTTTCAATTTCGACTTCACAACGAAGGATATTGGACTCAAGACAACACAAGCTCAACTTCACGACGAAGGGGCGACTGATTGTCAACAAATAATTTACCAGTTCCAGAGCCAATTTAACTTCACGGCGGATATTGGACTCGAAGCAACAACTTACTTGAATTTCACACTTCACGACGATATCCAATTCCAGGCTCAACTTCACGACGAAGGCCACCCGCGGTTTCAACTTCACACGACGAATGGATCGTGCACACAGCAGCATCCATCTCTAGATTGGATTTCACGAAGCAATACAACTTACTTGAATTTCAACTTCACGACGAAGGATATCCAATTCCAGGCTCAACTTCACGACGAAGGAGCCACCCGCGGTTTCAACTTCACGACGAATGGAATCGTGCACACAAGCAGCATCCATCTCTAGATTGGATTTCAGCTTCACGACGAATGATATCCAACTCAAAGAAGGAGTATCTGTCAATAAACTTTCCAGTTTGAGAGTCAATTTCAACTTCACAGCAAAGGATATTGGCCTCGAAACATCACAACTTACATTGGATTTCAACTTCACGACAAAGGATATCCAACTCCAAGGTTCAACTTCACGACGAAGAGACCATATACGATTTCAACTTCACGACGAAGGGAATCATGCTCACCAGCAACATTATCCTTTAGATTGGATTTCAACTCCAGGACGAAAACTTCACGACGAAGGGGCCATCCACGATTTTAAGTTCACGAAGAAGGATATCGTGTTCATTTGCAACATAGCTCAAGGCAAGAAGAATTATTTTCCAACCAAAGACCTTTGAGTTCGACTACGCTCAGCTCCAAGGCACATCATTTGCGACATAGATCAAGGCAAAAAGGCTATCTGCCAACCAAAGACCTATTAGTTCGATTACATTCAACTCAGAGGCAACTCAAATTTAAAGCATAGCTAAAGGCGATAAGGGCTATATGTCAACTGACAAGTTTGATTTCATTCAGCCCGATGACAGTGAGAAACTACTTTCTGGAAGAATTTTCAAGCCGAAATCTTTAAACCGAGAAGAAGTCAAAGGCCCAATTCCAGGAAGACCAATCACATTTGAAAGGACCAGACAAAAACTGTTTGTCTTTTTTTTTCTTTGCCATATTCTTGTTAAAATAAAAATGCGCAAAGAGGGGCAGCTGTAGACACTCATTTTTTCCTGGGTCTAAAAACATTTTATTATACTATATTATTATTATTTTTATTATTATTATTATTTATTATTATTTATATTTTTTTGTAGGCTTCATGTTCAACCTATTAACCACCTAATCCACTAAAAACCCCACTAAAACTCACCTGACACACACGAAAACCACGCATACCAACACCATACTCCATAATTCTCGGCTAGCCAATAAGCACACCGCTAAATCATAACCATAGAACCACCTGTAAATACCATATCCTTCATTGTAGTGTGGGGGAGGAATCCATTAATAGAGGTTCTCGCTCAAAGGTTACCCCATGCCATCCTTGTTTCAAAACAGTCCCTTAACACTTGGTCGATGTCATCCACCGCCGTTCCACAACATGAGCATCCTGCATTTCCTGTCATATTCCACCTCACTCTTTCTGCATTCGTTAACAATCGACCTGTACAGACCAACCAAAGGAAAGCTGATCCACTGGAGCTGGTTGAACCAAACGAAAGAAATCTCTACAACTTTAGCACGCATATCATCTCCGAGAAGAATATTTGATGGCTTAAGATCTCGATGAATGAAACTCTGCTACACCATTCCGAGTAGATACTCAACACCTCAAGCCACGTCTAAGGTAATTGTAAGTCGCCAGGTCCAGTCGAGTGGTTTTAACCCTTCGTCCTTCCAATTGAATAGGTGCCTGCTAAGGGTCCCTTGAGGCATGTATTCATAAACAATAAGCCTCTTGTTTCCATCCAAACAATATCCAATATTTGCAACCAAATGGTGGTGACGAACCTTAGTAAAAACCGTAATCTCTAACTTAAATATGGCCAAACCTTTCGCACTCACGGCACCAGGTCCCATCCTTTTCATGACAATCTTCGTCCTATCGTGCAACTCCCCTTTGTAAACCGTCCCATTTCCATTCAATATCTCTGTTGGGCTTGCGTAAATGCTCCGAGGCGGGGTGATTATGGACGTCGTCAACGCCGAAGAAGCTCGAATCGTAGAAGCCGAAGCGTGCACCGTCATGGCTCTTGAATGAGTCCCTGCCGACATCCAAACCCAAGGAGGCGCGGCACGAATGAGTGACTCATAACTCATCATGGAAATCAAGTAGACTGTTACTATTCCCGTCATGGCGATGGCAACGTTGACTTCCCAAAGTTTAAGAAGATGATGACTAGTGCTTAAAAAAAGGTTAGGGTTTTACTCGTCTTTAAATTATCTGAATTTTGATCTTCAGTTTTAAGAAGATTTTACTGCTTTCCTTCTGTGGACTATAGTTATTATTATTTGGTTTTTAATGGTTTTAATCCTTGGCACGTGGTTTTATATTTATTTTATAAGAATTAAATAAACATTTTTAATGGAAATTGTAAAAAATAAAAATTAGGTAATTAATTTGATTTTTTTATTTATTTATTTTTGGCACGTGGTTTTATTATTTTTTTGAATTATTTGTTTACTATTTTTATCTAACATTTTTTACTTTTGTACAAGAATTTTAACCAATCAAATGTAATTATTTGAATTGGACTTTTTAATTTTTAATTTTGATTTTTAAGTTTTGTAAATAAGACAACCGACAAATTAATTGGTACCGAAAGGGCAGTTCAAGGGTGCTAGTCCTTCTTTGACCGTAATCGACTCCCGGACCTGATATATTTCTGGTAAAATGCAGATCAGGTAAGATGGTGTCTGACCTACCTAAATATTTTTAAAATGTTTGGTGGCGATTCTAACCCAATCAATTCAAGTCGAAGCCCGATTCCGGGGCCCAACCGAAATACGATTCCAACACTAAGGACACCGGGTGAGTCCATTTTTTTTGTGTTATGTTATCGAGCAAACATTAACTTGCGATGAGCCAATTATAGAGTTACTATAGTAAGGAGTGACTCCTAAATGTTATGTGATTTGTGATTCTTGCATATAAGTCCATTTGGTGAGCTAATAGAATTAGTGAACAAACTGAAAATGCAAATGGTGAGCTATAGAGGACACCAAGGAAGGTCGGTGGGTAAGTGGTGAAGAAGCACTGCAGTTGCTCGCTCACGCCTTGGATAAAGCTCTTATCTCTTCTTCCTTACCTTCCCTTTAGCGGCTATGGTTGGTTATTTATAAGAAAGATATCCTAGGGCTATGCATGCTTTTGGAGTTTCCTTAGATAACCGTTATTAAATGTCCAGACTTAAAAAGGAAAGGCAATTGGCGGCTATCAGAATAATTAAGGCTTGCTTGCACGTGAAGTAAGTCATCCAGCTGGTGTGTGACATAGGTCGTTTTGTCACACATGCTTCAGACTTCTTCAGATAAACCTTGCCTCGGCGAGATAAATCTACTCCTCATGTTCTCATTTATTTCTTTGTCCTTTGCAAATTTATGTTGTCACGACTGAAATGTTCTTCCTCTATAAGTTTCCTGCACAAACACAATCCAAACAACCCTTTCTCCTCAGCACCATCAGTCAAACCAAATAAATCTTGCATAAGCAAAACTTATCCACCACAGGATAACATAACCTATATGCAACTAAAATTCTATGTATACTTTGTTTACACGAGCAATAACTTAAGTGAAAAGACTGGAAATTGAGTCTTTTTATGGAGTTATCAGTTTATCAAGCCATAAATGTCGCAGGAGTATTAGTCAATCCAAATGGCATCACCAAAAATTTGTATTGTCCATATTGAGTCTAAAAGGCCGTCTTTGAAATGTCATCCTCTTTAATATTTAATTGGTGGTATTGTGACCGAATGTCTATCATAGAGAACACTGCTACGCCTTTTAGTTTATCAAACAAATCATCAATCATCATAAGAGGATACTTATTCTTTATTGTTACCTTATTTAACTGTCGATAATATATGCATAATCAAATAGATCCATCCTTCTTTTACACAAAAAACATAGGTTCTCTCGAAGGTGAAACACCGGGTCTGATAAATCCCTTATCGAACAGCTCCTGCAATTGGGCCTTTAGTTCTCTTAACTCAGTTGGAGCCATTCGATACAGAGCCATAAAACTAGGTTCAGTACCTGGGTAAACTTCACTTTGGAATTCCACCTCACAATCTAGAGGTAAACTCGTTAATTCTTTCGGAAAAACATCTGGAAACTCCCGAACTATTGGGATATCACCTAATCTCACTTCCGATATTCGAGTGTCTATCACGATAGCCAGAAAAGCTATACACCTTTTTGACATCATTTTCTTTGCAGTTATTGTTTTGGATGGTGATTTCACTTTTTCACTGATTACTATAACTTCTGAACCTTCCATATCCTTAAAAAATAATCGTTTATTGCGACAATATACCCATCCATGATGTTGATACAACCAATCCATACCCAAAATAATTTCAAATTCGTCAGAAGGCAGTTTTATCAAGTTTTTCAGGAACACAATCCCTTGAATCTGTATAGGGCACTTTTTACATACCCGAGTTACCCTTGAACTATGACCCATATGGGTTACTGTTATCATCTCACTAAAGATTGGTTCTAAAGGAATTCCTGTAGCTCTAATCAACTTTGACATAACATAAGAGTGTGTAGAACCAGGGTAAACCAAAACAAATACATGTTCATCAAAAAGATAGAATGTACCTGTTAAAATCTCTGGGTCATCCCGAACTTCATTAGTCTTAATATTATAAATTCAGGCCACTCCCTGAGTCTCTTGTTGCTGGGTTGACTCAGATTATCCACCAAATCTTCCTCTTCCTCTGCTTTTATTAGATGGTGCTACTGATCTCTCAGTTTGCACTGATCTATCTCTGGATCTCTTAGGACAATTTCGAGCATAGTGACCAATTTCGCCACAATGTAAACAAGTGCTAGTGAGCAATCTACATACTCCACGGTGCAATTTATCACACGTCTAACATGGATTATTTCGTTCCTCAAACACTCTACCCGAGCTAGCAGCAAACAAATGTTATTGATTATTCTCCTGCGAAGTTGCAGCAGAACCATCTCTATTACTATATCGAGAACTTGAACGCTTTCCTCTTTAGCATGATAGGAAGTTTAAGACATTTCAACTCCTTTTCCCATCGAAATTCCTTGCTGCAGCTAAAGTGTCCTCTTGACCTCTTCTAATTGCCTTAGCTCGATTTATGACTTCTTCCATATTAGGCAAGTTTAAAGTTAACATCATCTCTTTCAACTTAGGCCTCAAACCCTCTATGAACAAACCACATTAAGCCTTATAATTGGGAACTACCTCAGTAGCAAAATGACTCAGCTTGTTATACTCAACCTCGTATTCATCTAATGCTCGATCATTTTACTTTAGATTAAGAAACTTCAGCAATGTCTCCGCATAAACTGCTCATCGTTGTATTTGTTCTTAAATTCATCCTGAAAGAACTGTCACGTCACTTGCTCAGATGGTGCATACATTGTAATGTTTGTACACCACACTCGAGCTGATCCTCAAAGTAAAGATATAACTCCTCCTAACTTTTCAAAATCTAAACATTGAATCTTTCCAGCATGATCATAACGTCGTTTAACCATAAATCAGAATCCATTGGACCTTCAACCTCTTATCCCCAAAACTCAGGAGCTCCCTAACTTTTTTAGCTCTTTTTGGTATTAACATTTGCGGTGCTAGAGGAGTAGGGGGAGGCAGATGAGGTTGAAATATAGTCAAGATTGCATCAAGAGACTGCATAAAAGCTCCAAACTCTGGCACTTTCATACCTTGATGTACAGATGCACTAGCGTTTTCAGACGAAATCATATGCTCACTATTAGCTTCATAGCTCTCCCTACCTGGCCTTTATCTAACTTAATGATCAGTCGCTCTCTGCGAATTCGTAGATTCCAAGATCTAATAGAATATTCATAATAATAACTCAAGTTAGTAAAGAGTGACATCAATCATATTCTAACAATACCATATCAGTAACCTTTACATATTAGTGGTATCTAAACCCCTTTTTAATGTAAAATACACCCAATTTTGGTCAAGAATCAGCTAAAATGTAGCTTTAATACCAATAATTGTAACACCCATTTCCGTACATGTTTTCGTACATAAGTCACAGATGTCACATAACTTTTAAAATATCCCGCTTTTGAAAAACCAGTAAAATTTTGTTTCTACTCATAAAACATTTTAATTTAATAATAATAAAATGTTCATTAACTATTAGTATATAAACAAATCTTAAAGTTCGAACATATTAAATTTTACACCATCATAAGTAAAATACTTTTCAGAGCATTATCATATGTATATTACATGCCAGCTAATGACATCAAAAGTAGACATAGTTGTCGTACAATTACTGATGAGGCGACCCTTGATTGGCGATGTCAGATGCACACCTTACATCCCTTGTACTAATGCCTACGCGAGAAATCAACACACGCTAAGTAATCACTTAGTAAGGCATAATAATAATGAGGTGAATTTTAAAACATAAGTATATCATAACTATCAAAATATGAATTGAATATTACAACTCATTATAAATTTCATGGTTTTTAACATATAGTGTCGATACGGTAATTCACAAACCAATTGTGAATTACGTATGTTGCACACATAGTGTCGATACAGCAATTCATAAACTCATTATGAATTACTTAGGTTGCACACATAGTGCCGATACAATAATTCATAAACTCATTATGAATTACTTAGGTTGCACACATAGTACCGATGCGGTAATTCGCAAAGTAATTATGAATTACTTAGGTTGCACACATAGTATCGATACGGTAATTCACAAACTCATTATGAATTACGTGGGTTGCACACATATTGTTGATACGGTAATTCACAAACTCATTATGAATTACGTGGGATGCACACATAGTGCCAATACGGTAATTCACAAACTCATTATGAATTATGTGGGTTACACACATAGTGCCAATATGGTAATTCACAAACTCCTTATGAATTACGTGGGTTGCACACTTAGTGGCGGTACGGTAATTCACAAACTCATTATGAATTACGTGGGTTGCAGACATAGTGTCAATACGGTAAATATAACATATACAGTAAACAAAATGCAGCTATGACTTTCATAACATATAAGTACATAATATATAAGTACATAATAAATGCACTCATCTGGTTTGCCTCACTATTATGCCCAAAATGTAGTTCGACT